CCCTCCCCTGACCAGACCTAATCCGTGGCCCACGTTATATTATTCCTATCCCTACATCGTGTTTTACTATCGTATCCATACGACGTGGGGAACTCATTCCCACCACTTTCCAAAGAGGAAATTTACTAGTTAATCCGATCCGTACGCTTTGCATAGCAGTCTGTCAAAATGATTTTTTTTTAGAAATACTGAAAGTTTTAAAGAGATTTTCGAAAAAGAAGTAGATCTATTCTAAAATATGAAGAATATAAACCGGGGGGTACAAAATGACCCCAGGGCTTACGGATAGGGTTAAAGAAATGTGTGTGTTTTGTGTTATCACGAAAGCCACGCCTGATCCCCCCCATGGGCACCCCATGTAAGATCCGCATTTTCCTAGCTCCTGTGCACCGGGATCTTAGGCGGAGACTACTCTATTACGGTGGCGTCGGTGGCCCAGTGGTTAGACTACCGGACTCGTGATCGCGAGGTTGCGTGTTTGGAGTTTCGAGCCGCGGGCCCGACGTTGTGTCCTTGGGAAAGACACTTTACACTAATTTTCCTCACTCACCCAGGTGGAAATGGGTACCCGGCCATAGACATTGAAAGATCTTTTCAGTATGTTCAATGTAAGTGTTTTAGCGCCTATAAATGGCTGCTTGCTCTGTATGTTTCCCAGGAAGTTGAGTGTGTTTCAGAATGCTCTCAGGTCTGCTGAGGTAATAGTACTAGTATAGATTGTGAAGTGCATAGAGCTTGCTGTTGAGTGGGGCTTTGCGCTAAACAAATTAAATGCTATTTATTATATTATAATAAAAAAGGAAAACTGTTCGGGATAGCGGAACTGGTCGTTGGTACAGGCGATTGTCTTGGACCTATTGCTTTAAGAGGAAATTCTACTGTATCATAATGAGACTGCCGAAGATGTTCTCCATTCTAACACTTCCAATTTTATTTTCTCTTCGACACTGAATATATCCGTTTTAGTGAGACAATTTCGACAGCACGTATTATTATTCTATTGACGGGTTGTAGGAGAATTGGTCTCTTTTAAGCACAAGGGGGCTATCCCCCAAAAAATGCTGTTTTGAGAAAATCGAAGGTAAAGGTTTTGCCCTTTGTTCAGTTTCTTTAAAAGACAATGAGAGTTTTCTCTATAAATAAACAATAGATATACACACCAATGAAACCAAATTTCTCTCATACGTAGGGCACAGCCCACTTCTTGTGTAGGTCAAGATTTCTTTAAGCCACAAAATCAGGGTTAGTCTGCTTGTCCTTAAAAGCGACCAATTGTAGCCTTTTAAAATGGTCTTGGGCTATAAATAGATTGGGTTAACACTGTATGTGACAAGTCGAGATGATGGATTGAAAAAAAAAAAGAACTTTCTGCTTTCCTATGTTATATGTTCAATAACTTGTTCGAAGTCGTGTTATAACTTATTTATGATATAGGTCAGCCGTTATTCGATCTTATAGAGACAGAAAGAAAGAGAGAAAAGCACACACACACACACACACACACACACACACACATACACACGAACACACACACACGCGCGCGCGCACACACACACACAT